TTGTAAATCGATTCGATGGATCATTGAAATCATTTAACCAAAGGAATCGTGTTGCATCACAGTCTTTCTGGTTAACTTCAATTTGAGGAAGGCCTTTTCAATATCTGCTTTACTGCAAACTTGTTTAATCTGAATCTGGTCAATATTGATGTGATTTCATTCCTCACCAGGGAATATGGCTCAGTGCAATCATTTAGATTAACATGTCCAGTTTTGTCCTTGCAGCTACAATCATACACTATTCTAATCGGAGTTGTAGTGCTGTCTTTTCTCACAGGGTGGTGAGGAATGTAATGGACTCTATATTCTGAATTTTCAACTTTCTCAATAAATCCTGTTTTCTTGATCCTGGATTATCTCACTATATAATTTTAACAGTTTTGGATGCCTTGCTAATCTCTGAGTAACATTTTCTGTTCTTCTTTTCACAATCTCATAATTTGTAGATAAGCAAGGAGAGTTTTCTTTCCAGAGAATTTTAGCAACATAATGACCATTCTCTTTATCTTTTGATGTAGCAGCATAGTTCAAAAGCTTTTCCTTGCCTTTCAACTCTTCACCCTGATCATCAATTCCCATGGATTCTATTTTCATTCAAGTTTCATTTCAAAGTGCAGTTATATCCCGGTTTACCGGTATTATATGAAATCACAAAAAATGGAGTCCATTATTACATGAATATATTATGTTCGGCGGTGAAACCGATAGGGCAATAGCAGATTCATTTTTGTAATAATTATTGATAAAAGATTTCCATTTTAGGTCACCTGAGTACTCAGGTGAGCTTTTGCTATATGTTTTCGACTTTTGCAGGCGCGGATCCAGGAATTTTTTCCGGGGGGGGGGGGTCCAAAAAAAGGGGGTGGGGAGCCCATTCCGAAACGTGAAAAAAGCCTATTTCATGGTGGAGTCCTCGTTTTTTTTTTTTTGCGGGGGGGGGGGGGGTTGTTCTATAGTCATTTCTTATTTGCTTTAGTATATGCACTTTATAACTCTGCAAATTCCGGGGGGGGGGGGGGGGGAGGTCAAGATCCGCGCATATTTTGTCGTTCGTCGTGCATTAACGTTTGAACATTTTCAGCTTCGTTTGAATGGCTGGACCAATTCTATCAATTTTGGCACATAGCATCTATGGGAATAATTTTCAATTTCATGGTCCCCCACCCGAGCCTGAGTGGTGGGGTTAAAACTATCAAATGCAATCTTTAAAAATGTTCTCTACTCCTTGACACCAGCAGTCAAACTGTTTTTGCCTCCCCGCTTTCACTGAAAGTGAAGGATATTAATTTCGGTCTGTCTGTCTGTCTGTCCATCTGTCCGTCTGTATTTTTGTCTGTCTGTAACACTTTTGTTTCCGCGCGATGTCTAGAGAAGCCTTTGAGCTATCGCAATGAAATTGCGAAAATGAACTCCCTATGGCCTAAAGAAGAACCCTTTTGATTTTGAGGTTAAAAGATCAAAGGTCAAGATAATAAATTCATACATTCTGTCTGTGTTTAACTAAACTCCCCATGGCCTCTCTCACCCCTCTCAAAGTGTCCCGCCCCGTTTTTTTTTTTATTGTATTAAAAGTCGCATGACACTATTTTTAGCACAGGAGCATGTGGAGAGTTATTACATATATTTGATATGGTTGTCGGCGGACTTCATATTCTAACTACATCAATTAGAATTCTTTAGTAAAAGCTAAATTAGACACCATGTATTGTGTAAAATTTTGACAATATCGAACGTGAATATAAGCATGTTTTGAAATGTTTTTTCGATTATTTAAATGATAATATTCAACATATGAAATGAAGTTATGACGTCTGACATGTACAAACTTCTCATAAAATCATTATTACAGTGTGTTAAATATTTTATATGAAATATATGGAGATAACGAACAGTATTCAAGCTCAAAAGTCCATTAAACAATATAAAAAGAATCTTCTATACACATATTAAAGAATAAGCAATCAAATCTATATATCTATATTGCATTTTTTACTTGCTTCAGTATACATGTATACATTAATAATTCTACAAATCCAGGAGGCGACCCCCTAGATCTGCGCATGCTCTTTTTTTCCTTAAGCGGGGGACACAAATTCTCTGAATTAACTTGTTACTGAGTCATCTTTAAAAAAAAATAGTTAAATTCATGGCCTCAGGATCAGGGGTAGGCCGGGGCTCCATAGACCATATAGGTATACTGCTCTATTTCTTTGAAAATCGTCTGCTCTCCCTGGGTAGGAGGCAAAATAAGTGCATGCTTATGATAAGCATTAGGAATTTCTCGGCCCCTTGTTCAGGGGCTCTGGTCTTAGGTTAAGGCCCCATTGATTATATATTTAAAATCCATTAAGATTTGACGATATTTTCCTCTAATAAATGTTTTCGTATTTACTTGGTAATCTACCATATTGATAATTATTATAATCTTCTGATTTCTAATCTGATTTTATAAAGCCTAAAAACATATAAATAAAAAAATATTTTATCAGCAATTCAAGTTATTTCCAAGAGGATCATATAGTAAATATCCTCCTCTGGAATTTGCACAAATGCCTGGTTATGTACCTCAATTTTTTTGTAAGGAAACTTATTAAAGTAGCAATTCTTGGGAACAGTTATATATAACTGAGGAAATATCGTCTGTCCTTCCTTCTGGTTATGGTGAGCAAGGGGGCCTCTTCCAAAGTTGGGAATTTCTTGGCCCCTGGGTTAGGGGCTCTCGTGTTAGAGTAAGTGATTGCGAAATTGCATTAATTCGTTGAAAATCTTTAACCAGTGCATAGTTATGATGAACAAGTGTGCCTCTGGCAAAATTTTGATTTTCATTGAACCTCGGTTATGGGGTCTGGTGTTAGGGCTATTAGGGTCTGTGTTGAATCTGTATTATTTCTACGAAAATTCTCTTCTCTACTGAAGGGTATCTAGGAGGCAAACAGAGTGCAAAGTTGTAATAAGCAAGGGTATTTTTACAAGTTTTTTTTTTTTTTTTTTTATTTCTGAACCTCTTGATCAGGGCTCTATTAATATGTATTCTATTGAGAGACACTATTCCCCTTTTCCTATTCTGATGATTAATTAATGTATATTATGTAGTTGAAAGGTCAATTGAATAAGAGAGTTAATCAAGATTTTTTTAAATATATAATACTGTGATAGTGACAAATGGGGGCAAGTAAATAAATAGATTATTTTAAAACAAACTACGGAGTTCTAGTTATTAATTATTTTGTTGACCCCAAATAACCCTATTTCTTTTGCTTTTGGGCATCATAGCTTCATTTATCAGTTTATTTTGTTTTATTTTATACTTCTATGAATCCTTTACAGTGTTAAATTATACTCAGGTGACGTTAAGGCCCGTGGGCCTATTGCTTTTTTTTAAATATATGTACAAATCTATCCTATATGGTGGCATATTTCTACCAGCACTTGTCTGACTTGGCAGATGTTTATGCCGACTTGTTAGATGTTCATGTCGACTTGTCAGATCCTTTTGTTGATTCTGCCACTGCTTGTCAGATGTTTATTTATTTCTTGTCAGATAATGTCCAGCATGACTAGGAACCCCGTTTTTGTTATCAAAGCGCGGTAATGCAACTTACTAACCTTTTCTTGTCATCATAATATCTGACAAGTCATCATAAAATCTGATAACATAATTTTCTGACAAGTCAACATATCTTTCTGACAAGAAGACGTAATAATCTGAAAAATCAACATAATAATAGGACAAATCGACATAATTATCTAAAGTAGGCCTGTCATATGTTATGTCGACTTGTCAGATAATTTTACAAATTTATCAGATGATTATGTTGGTGTGTAAGAAAAACATGTTGTCAACTTGATGCAACAAACTGGGCATGGACACATTCTTATGTTAAAGATTGATACAGGTGAATGAGTGACAAGTCGACATAAACATCTGACAAGTAATGGCAGAAATAGATTTGTCACATTCACATGTTTAGAAATCCAATATGAAAACGTTTCTATGCCCAGTTTGTGCCATCAAGTTATTTTTTTTCTGACAAGTCGAACTAATCCTGGTCGTTTCTTTGTCTGTCCGTCAACCTATTTTTCCCCTCAAACTCCTCCTATTTACATTTTAAGCAAAGTAGCCAATTCATCTTTTGGATTTACAGGAATATGATTGACTGTGTCCTGTATATGTCCAATAAGGTTTCATAATTTCCAATAAGGTTTCGTAATTTTCATTTTCCCACCTGAAGGGCAAACCAGGTTCATCCCCCCCCCCCCCCGCAACACTTTCTTTCGAAAACATTTTAACCGAACATATATATATATATATATATATATATATATATATATATATATATATATATATATATATATATATGCTTCATTAGATTCTTACTTTCAGGCTGGTTCAAACTGGTTAGTATGAAAAACAAGCATAACAGGTCTGTAGAATACATGCTCCCCTGAGCATTTTATACTTAATTTGGAAAAACTGATATTATTAGTTTTTTCACTTTGTTCGTGCATTCCATAATTCGTTGAAAAAAATATCCAGTCATTTCAGAGAAGTAGAAAATGTTTACAAGCAACGGACAACAAGTAGATGACTTTGAACGAATTTATTGGCTCCATGTAGGGCGAGGATACATGTAAGTTAAAGTCACTGCATCTTATAAAGTGTTCTATTTACTCTTCAATATATACATGTAGAAGGCAAACCACTTGTATTTAATTGATTAAAATAAGTAAAACTATTGAATTCGTAATCCACTATGAAAAGACCCAAAGTGGTTGGGTTAACATAAGGAATGTTAGTTTTGAGTTTGTCAATGTCTTTTTGTTGAATAAAATAAATGAATAGTTGGAATGCTGATCAAGTTCGCTTCAAAGAGTGAAATGTACTGGACATTGGACATACCTAAACCATACTAAGAAGAATCTGATCAGGAAAATGCTTTCGTGTCTTATTTTTACCTGGGGGGTTTGAATACCGTAAGATGGTAATTAAACAAAAAAACTTCATTTTTACGATGTTTTTATTTATGGTCATACTGCAAATTTCATGTAATATTAGTATGACTAAAACACAAACAAGCTTCCTTTGCTTTTCCAAGCAACAGAACCCCTGGATAATCTTAGACCACAGGTTGGGGTGATGGAGGGTCCGTGGGCATAGAAACAGGGATTCCACCTGGTGATTTCCTCGTCGTGACTGGTGATGAATTATTTCCGACTGGCGAAGGCGTGGGAGGTGGCAGCTCATCAAATTCCATTTCACACAACTCTATTATAAATTTACCGTCTAGTGGGTTGCTGGGATTTGCACTTCAAATTGAAAAAAAAGTATTAAGATGACTAGAGGCTTTAATTAAGGTGAAATTAAAACACATGTACAGTTTGCTTTTTTAAAATATAAAATAAATTCATCCAATTTGATACCTTTTTAGGCTTCTCAAGACCTTATCAAAGTACATGATATTGACGCCTTCATGGTATGAGAAAACAGCATTTGGAATTTCGCAACGAACGAGTCTCTGTCCTGTTTAAAACGTATTTCATTACAGAAAAAATAGTCAAGCTTGTTTTCATCTCTCAAAGGAAAAATAAACCCCGAAAAACGGGGTAACTGTAATTATTGAAATACATTTACAACTAAATTTAAATCACCTTCTTTCTCACAGCATTGAGCAAGTCTGTTTGGAAAACCACCTTGTAAATGGTAATGCTCACCAAATTTGCGACAGTCGATTCCTACACCATCAGCACCTGTTACAAGACATACAAGCTAATTCAGAGAATTTTTGTCCCCCGCTTAGGGAAAAAAAGATCATGATCAGTTTATATGTATATTGAAGCAAATAAAAAATGCCAATATGGATATAAAGATTTGATTGCTTATTCTTTAATATGTGAATAGAAGATTCTTTTTATATAAAATATTTATCACCCTGTTATAATGATTTTATGAGTTTGTACACGCCAGACGTCATAACTTTTTCATTTCATATGTTGAATACTATCATTTAGTAGAAAAAAAAAGTTTCAAAAAAAAGGGATCGTCCGGAATTTGAACTCGGGTCCTCTCACTTGCTAAACAAGAATCATACCCCTAGACCAGAGGCACCTAATTATAGAGCTATGTAAACGTTAGGTCACATATAATGTTTATATTCACGTTCGACATTATCAAAATTTTTTACAAAATACATAGTGTCTAATTTAGCATTTACTAATCAGTTCTAATTGATGTAATTAGAATATAAAGTACGCCGACAACCTGTATTATATGTATGAACTCTCCACATGCCCCTGTGCTAAAAATAGTTCCAAGTGACTTTTAATACAATAAATAAATAAAACAAATTAATATCCCCCACTTTCAGTGAAAGCGGGGGACAAAAAAACCGGTGCTGGACACTTTGAGAAGGGCGAGAGAGGTAGGTCATAGGGAGTTATGGTATAAAATTTCATTGCAAAAGCTCAAAAGCTTTTTAACATATCGCCCGGAAACGAAAGTGTTACACATAGACAGAATGTATGAATTTACCACCTTGAACTTTGACCTTTTGACCTCAAAATCAATAGCGGTCTTCCGTAGGCCACAGGAAGTTGCTATGTAAAAGTTCATTGAAAAAGCTCAAAGGATTCTCGAGATATCGCGCGAAAACAAAAGTGTTAAAATAGACAGAATTTAAGACCTTTTGACCTCAAAATCAGACAGACAGACGGACGGACGGAAAAGCAGACCCGAATTAATATCCCCTTTTTCAGTGAAAGCGGGGGACAAAAAGAGTTTACAAATGTACTCCCACAGACTTGTAAGGTGTAAATTGTTTTTGTCTTTCAGATAATATGCCGTACTGTAAAATAAATACAAGAAGATTTTCACTCTTCTTGGATTTGAAAAACACCACTTTACCAAAAATTAAGAATTATTTAACAATAAAGTAGATCCGTTTTTTTTTATATGAAATAATTAATTAAAATTTCGTAATCGCCTGATTCTTGCTAGTTTTCATATCTAGATAACTCCGGAAAATGACATTCTTTACAACTTACTTAGAACTTTACACTTCTTGTTTTCACGTCCTCGTGGAAAACAAAAGTGGATTGCTTCTTTCTGCCACAAATCGCGACGGAAGCCGTGACTGACTTGATTACAGTCACACCTGTGCTTATGATCTACGATGTAACCATCACTTTCTCTCAACAGCAACTCATAAACACAAACTATTACAACTAGTGCAGTATGCATCTGAAGGAAAAAATATAAACTTTAATGAAATGGCATTTAGTTTTATTTTATACATGTACTGTAAAAAATGCACTGAGATTTTTTTTAAAAATTAATTTTTAAAAAAGTTGATGAGCGAAGCCTATTGTAAAATCTTAACATACCTTCTCTATTTGTACGATTCTTTTCTTTTCTAGGACGCGCTTACAGAAATTGTGAAGAAACTTGGTTTTCTCCTACTTTTATACATTATGAAAAATATTGATGCTCTCACCCACGGACGGCAAAAAATGATTAGTAAGCTGAAATTTTTGCCAAAGATGAGATTTTATTTTTTCCTAGATATTATCTCCCATGCAATTGACTTTTGCTTGATGGTTTATCAAGAAGTAAAATTGTATAGAATTTCATTTAAAAAAGAAAAGAAAACTACATTTGATATTTTATGTGTCCATAGAACATGAATGCCCCCGCGCCCGATGGTACACTTGCATTTCAATATGAAAAGAAATGTACCTTATTTCTTTGGTTGGAGCTGAGAGTAAAATATGATTAAGCAATGAATATGTTACAAATTGTTCAAACTATAACCTTTAATCCATTTTATCCTCTAACAACGAAATAAAGTGTCGTTGTTTCAAGTATTTTCATCATACACCCCTATTTATTGATTATATGATATCTAAAGTAGTTAAGTTGATATGTTTACAAAGAGATTTATCCAGGCATGTAATAAATTCTTTTTGAAATTCATCAAGAAAAACTAAAATAAAATGGTGTACAAGGTCAAAGGGAAGGTCAGATCATCGTGACACAGCTGCATTGTATTAGTGTTTGCAGTTGAATGAAAATACATGTACTTTGAACAGAGTCTTTGAAACTCAGGTAAACAGTGAGTAAAAATTATTGCACAAATGAATGGCTTATACAAATTAAATATCTCTGTCAAAACATATCTATATACAAAATTTGAAGAAAAAAAACCCTGAAGTTCAAGGTTACGAGGAAGGTTAAGGTCAAATCGAAGGTCGAGGTCAGAATATTATAACAGGGTTGATTTGATCTTGCCATTATTTGTACCTTTGTGAAAAATTCAAAAAAATATCGAGGAAAAAAAATCAAGGTTTAGAGGAAAAAAAATCAAGGTTTAGGAAGTCAATCTCTTAGAAGATCTTATCAAATGTTTCAGTGTAAAAAAACGAATGGCGTACAAGGCTAGGACAATCCCACAGGACCATTGAGCAGTGAGGGATCTTTATTGTGCTAACGCCTGCCGTGACACGGGGCCTCGGGTTTTACTGTCTCATCCGAAGGACCCGCAACTTTCACTTCAAAGTGCCGAGTGCTTGGCGAAGGAACAGTTGCCATCTATTTTTTATCGACTTAGGTCAGTCACGGCCGAGATTCGAACTCACGATCTTCAGATCATGGAGTGAACGCTCAACCGACGGACCTACCGTGACGGTTTTATTCTATTTTTCGTCTATATTCTTCGTCCATATCTTTCGCTGATTTACGATTGTAAATTGTCTTTCCCTAACCCGTGTCACACTAAAATTACGTAACTTTCTAAATTCGACGTGATCGGCTTCTTTTACTGGATTTTTCTAAAGAATAAATTGATTCTTTCAAGGTAACAACTCTAAGCAAAACTTTTCCCAAAAATTTCAAACTCAAGTTTTCGGCCTCTTTATAGATCTAGTAGACGCACACGATACAATCAAGCAGGGATGAAAACGATCACCATAACCCCTGATTATTCTTTATAATGAAAACAAGAGACCAAAGGGCCTTATCCATCACCTGAGTATAATATAACAATTTTGATGATCTATAGAGTATAAAATAAACTGATAAATGAAGCTTTGTTGGCCAAAAACCAAAGAAATAGGATGATCAGGATCAACGAACTAATTAGTTCAGTATTCAGTAACAACTCATAAATTAAGTTTTAATTTGTCCCCCATTAATTTTATCACTATCACCATGCAGACTATTAACAAACTATTATTGATAATATACTATTTTTAACCCCATATCATAACCTCTCACATTGACCTCTCTTGGTCTTTGAAGAACGATTAATATGATAAATTATATTTGTCTCATTTTCATTTCTATTATTTACAAGTCATTAAACTATAAAAGAATGTCTTGCCTAATTCACTTATTCTATTAACCTTTCAATGAAATATGGAGTTAACGAATAGTATTCAAGCTCATAGTTCATTTAAACAATACAAATCGGGAGCAGAGCAAACACGAACCTCCAAAAGCATCAGAGGCGGGATCAGGTGCCATGGAGAAGTAGGCACGTGTTCCCTGTCGACCGGTGTCGCATAATTTACGTTCCGGATACTTTGCGTTCCGGCCGGAACCTTAAAATCATAATATTGGTTCCGGATTTTACTGTAAGTTTGGTTCCGGCCATGGCTGCAATCTTCGAATCGCGGTATCTGTCAATTATTATCTGCCAGTTTTCTTTCTACACTGAACCATAGAAGTAGTTTTTTTCCTTGATTAAGCATGGCGCAGCGGCATGCCATTTTCATGTGGCGCAATGTTCTTTTTATAAGGCGTCATGCCCTTTTTGTACAGCCATTTTTTAATATGTTTTACGGTGTGACCGTTGGGGCGAGCGCAGTTGTACCATCAAAAAGCTATAGCAGCTTACACTTGTAACGTTGATCCGCCTCTTCAAACGTCAAACCGCACGAGACACAGGGCGAATTTGTTGCATCTAAACTAGTTCAGGTTTTGGTTTAAGGTTTAAAACTAGTTTTTAAACTGGTTATAAGTTTCGATCCGGTTTACCTTGGTAAAACAAATGAACAGTTTATACAAGATGGCATCTAAAAGATGCATGCATGATTAATTATATTAATATTAATCATGTTAATTGTTAATTGGAAATTTAAAGCAGAAATAATGCTGCTGATGAAAAAAAGAGATAGAATAACAAGAATTTTATGACGTTTTTCATATGCATTTACAATGTAGGAACCTTAATATGAAGAGCTAGAACATATTAACCAAATTACACATGCAAATAAAGTTAAAATCTTTTTCTTTATAAAAGAATCCAAGAAATTATAGTTTTTTGTTCCTTGTTTATCTTACTTAAAATGCAGTATTTATATTTATAATGCCTCAAAGATTCATCAAATGATCAATTTCCACATTTTTAACACATGGAAATATAAAAACTCAGGTATTTATAATACTACTCTTTAGATTTCCAACAATAAAACCGTCTTTACAGTAAGTTCTACAATTTACCATACATGTTAAAGTTTGTCCAAATGATTCAAAACATTTTTGAAAAGGAAAATTTAACATTTTCTGTTCATTATCATTGAACAAACACCATGCAGCATTTATCTATTCTCTGAAGCCTTCTATAAAACATCAGAATGTGGCATTAAAGTCAAAAAGAGTTGTTTGTCCTTGAAAAAACAATCATTTATAACTTTTTTCTTTATTAAAATAGTCACCACCTTTCATCACCGCCATACTGGAATACTTCCCGCTCTTTCGTAAACCGAATAAACCACCATCGGAGGTGGTTTGGTTGGTTTAACGAACTGGTTTCAGTTACTGCAGAAACAAATAGAAAACCGGTTCTGGGTTTAAACTAGTTTAAAACCAGTTTGTGGAACAAATGAACAGTTTACAAAACTGGTTCAAAACTAAAACCAGTTTTTGAGAAACAAATTCGCCCACAGTCTAGACTGTGACGTCACATGACGTCGGAATTTACGGAGACAGCCGAGCGTCTGGTTGAACGAGACTAAAGATCTTGTGCAATAATAAATGAAATACGTTGTAGAGTAGATGTAATTATTTTTTGTTTCTTTTAAGCTCTCTGTAAAGAAAGAAAAGTAAACGTATCTCTCGGTAACGTGTATACATACGTCAGGCAAATTTTCTGGTGCAACATTCCCAGAATTCCTTCGCTACCAGGGTTCCATGCGAAATTCTTACAAAACATACAAAAGACCAAGGATAATTATTAGATTTCATTCCGAATTTCCTCTGTTCTTACACGTTAGTCTATTGAGCTCGCTTCGCGAGCAGCAGCTTCGCGCTGCTCGCTGCGCTCGCTAAAAATAAATGAATAAATAGCCCAAGTAAAGATCGTGAAATACGCTTTCTGATGCATATACACCGAATAAAATTTGGTCGCATGAAAGGCTTTGTTTATCTAATGCATACAAATTAAGTCCCTTTGTTTATTTAGTGCATATCAGGTGTGAATTTCTCGCTTGAATGCACGCAGACCCGGTATTTACAGGGTAAAGAGGATAGAAGATAAACTTGACTGAGATTACAAAAGCCTAAAAAGAAGCACAGTGTCGAAGATAAATTTGATCAGTAGATTTTAATTTTATAATCTGATAAAGTACAGAATTAAATACAAAATGGTATACGTATTTACAGAGAGGCATTCTCTGTTTAAATATTACAAGTGTTGCAAATTCTACAATGTCGAGCCTCGAATACATGGCTTCCATTCCTCATAGATATTATCACTTGGCATGAAAATATGATTTATATTCCATTAGAAATAAAAAAAAAAATATAAATTCACTGATGAAGATAGTTATATAGTTTTTGTGATAAATTAACAATGGATATTTTATGTGGTTTATTCTGCAATGAAACAAACATGAAAACATAACGATATGGTTTATTCCCTTAGAATAAACAAACACAAGTAATTAATGAAAATTATGTTGTTGTTTTTTAAAGAACGTAGGAAGAAAAGAAAAAAAACAAGGTTGAAATATGAAAAGTAAAGACCAGCAATGTTGATTGTGAAAATAGCAGTGAGGTAAACTGAATTAGCTCAAATATTTTAGTAAAATCAAGGTTTTAGAAAATTTTAAATGATTTTTTTTTATGTTTTAAAGGTCTTGGAATCACTTTTCTGTAACTTCGATGCATGTCCTACCCACCCACCCCTTAAGATATTTGGGAAATAACTTTTATTCCTTGGTGTTTTATATACATAAAACACAATAAGAAAATGACAATTTTTATGACACTTTAAAACTTTATCGTTTTATACATACCATTATGTTTAATGAATATCAAAATTTGTGGGGAAAAAAAATTCAAATATATACATGTAGGCAGAAGGCAAGCTGCAATAATGTAACACCCCTCCATTTTTT